CTCAGCTGTGCTAATTCCTTCCCTGCCTGCTGTGGACCCCCAAATAATGGTCCATGGGATCTTGAAAAACAAGACTGATCTGGCCTTTACATTTCACAGAAGCTTTGAAGGAACTATCAAGTAGTAACGATTCAGTTATTCTTTGTAGCTATTGTTACTCTGAACAATGACAGAAGTGAAGGTCTTCATGGACTATGATGTCTTCACTGATCTGTCTACTTCCCCATGAACACCTAGTAGAGGAAAATGGTAAGGCAGGCTAGGGTGGAACACAGAAATCCAGATTCAAAAGTGCATAGGTACGAGTTGATTACTCAACTACAAAGAGCTCTTTTTAAAGCACAACTGATTTTTAGCAAGTGCAAGGTATCAAAAGACCTTCATTTTGATTTTATAAAAGTAGGCTCTGTTGTGTGACAAACTACAAGTGACTGAAAAACCAAGACTGCATGCTTTCTAAGCCTAAAAATAACCAGAAGTAGAGTCAAACATGAACTTATATTTCAACAGGATGGTGATAAACAGAAATTAAGGGAGATAATATGCTGAAGAATGAGGAAACCCATATAATGGCTTATGCTGACAGTGAAAAACTCTTCACCTTATAATGGTAAAAAAATATGTGTTAGTTCTTTCACTCTGAAAGAAGCTATTGGCCATTAAATCTGCCATGAAGGTCTTTGAACTGTTAAAACATGATGTGGCATCAAAATATTAATTTGTATATCAGATTATAAAACTAAAAGCTCCATGTTAACTGGCTAATTTAAAAGACAGGAAACATACTCATTTAATATCTTATCCCAATTACTCTTCCAGGAAAGTAGGGAAGAGAGGGGTGTTTGGAAATGCATTAAAACATAATAAGCAGAATAATAAAAAAAATCTGAAAGGAAAGATCAAAGACCACTAGTCTAAATGAATTGCAGGAAAATAGGAGAAAATACCAAAACTACTTTGCTCTACCATGCATACACACAGCAACCCACGATCATTTCCTAGATTACTTTTGGCCTTTCTTCAATTGGCCTTAATTACTTATAAAGTGTGCAACACAATTAGGGAGGATTTGTCTTCAATTTAACTCTGAGAGAAGCATGAGTGGATGTAAATTCTAATCACAGACCACTGTAGATCATCACAGCCATTAAAAACAATTCCTAGTCTTGAGAATCTTTCACACAAGTCACCTGCTAACCTTTGGATCCAGGTTTTAGACTTGCAAAAATTTTGGGGTTCACCAACTTCTTCAGCTTATTATGCAGGGATGTATAAATGGTACAGATGGAATCCTTCCTGCTGAAGAAAGACTGGCCCCCTAGTTTCTCCCCCAGGTAGGTGAGGCTGTGGTAGACCTTCTCGGCCGCGGCTAGGTGCGCCAAGGCCACCAGCAGCGACAGCCAGCTGGCCCCAGCGCTCTTGTTGGCCTCTCGTTCCTTCTCCACATTGTCCTTGGCTTTGTCATAAGACAAGATACCCAGGTGAGAGAAGAACATCTCCAGCACCGCCTGTTCCACGGGGACTGGGGCGGCAAGCAGAGACTCCCCCATGTGAACTGCGCTCCAGCTCGACCTGCGTGGCTCTGCTCTCCCTCGCACTTCCCTACAGTATATACTTTTAATCTATTATTTTTTTCTTTTTTTCATCCTGTACGGAAATCTGTATGAGTTATCTTGTATATATGTTTCCATACTTTGAAATTCTAAATGACTCTTTCCTTCACCTAAAACATGTGGACACTTATGAAAAATGTTTTATTTTTACAAATGGGTGGTATTTTAAAGTAGCAATTTTTACTTCATCATTTATGTACTTTTCCTCTATGTGTAATCTTAACTCATCTGTTTGATAGATACCATTCCATAGTGTGTAAAATTGATAGGTAATTAAGTTATTTTAAAGGATTGAAACAATAAATTTCTCCAATAAATATCTTACATGTATATTCTTATAAGTACATAAGAATAAGTCTGTAAAGCTTTTGTTCTACAAATAGCAAACACTGGTTTATGGATCAAAGTATAAACTGAGTTAATTTGAACAGCCTCTAAAGCAGATTGCTTTCTGAAGCAATAACAGCAAATTAGATCTCCAAAAGTGTGCTTGATGTGCTAAAAATTTTTTTTGTTCATCTTCATTTCAATTTGTATATGTCTGAGTTTGGATTTTTGGATTTTCCTGTACAAGGCTGTCTATTCAGAGTTGGTACTTTTTTATTATGGTTTTCTAATTGAATGGTTAACAAAGCAAAAAAATATCTGAGAATAATAACATTTAGAT